GTCCCTCTGGGCCTGCGGCTGGGGGCTCTGATGGAGGTATGGCTCCATGCCCCACGCCCCCTCTGGGCCCGCTGCTTGGGGCTCTGATGGAGGTATGGCTCCATGCCCACCCCCTTCCTTGGGCCTGTTGCTGGGGGCTGAGCCAGAGAAGAGCCCTGATTGGGACAGGCAGACTCTGCCAGGACTTTGTCTCCCTCCAGCCCCTTATGCAAGAGGATGGGGCTTTGATCTCAGCATGTGCCGGGGCTCTAAGTGCACATCCTGCCCCTCCCTGGAGCAGGGTGATAGGCAGGGGAAGGCTGGGTCTAACCAAGCCAGTAGACGTGCCCCAGATGGGCGCAAACTCTGGAGTGTTGCCCCTTTCCCAGGTGGCATGGGCAGGATCCAAGCCCCTGGGGGGAGGGGAGAGGCACACATGTCCCCTCTCCCATCTCTAGCACAGTCTGGCATGGAGCAGCCACTGGTGACGGAGCCTGGCTGGGGCACTGGACAGTGGTCCGGCCACTGACATCCAGCAGCTCAGCTGGCATCGGCTGGGTCTGGGCCCCTGGGTACGGCGGTGCTGGGGCTACCCTCTGGGCACCGGCGCTCACAGCTACCTTGGAGCGAGGGGAGGAGCCGCGTGTCCCCTTGGCTCCCGTCAGGGGCATGCTCGGTCCCAGGCCAAGCTGGGCTGGCAGTGGGCACTGAGCAGGGGACGCGGGGTGGGGGAGACATGTGCTCACCCCGTCCCGTCTCCCTCCCAGATCTCTTTGTCGGTCAGTTGAAAAGCTGCCTCAAGTGTCAGGCCTGTGGCTACCGCTCCACCACCTTCGAAGTCTTCTGTGACCTCTCCCTCCCCATCCCAAAGGTAGGGGCTGTGGGGGCTGGGCCAGCCCATCCTGGCTGGGGTGCACTGGGAGAGACCCGCTGCCCCCTCTGTTCTGGTTCATCCTCTCGTCGGCAGCTGGATGCATGGGCGGCTGGTAAACTGGCCATTGGGGGAGGCTAGCTCCCGGCTCCTTCCCTTCTGCCCAAGGCCCTGCTCCTCGCCTTTCCCTGCTCCACCTGCAGGAGCCCAGAGCACCCTCACCCTGGCCTCCCAGCCCTGGGCTGCCCAAGTGCCCCCAGACCTCCGGGCGGACCCCAGCCCCCTGGGCGGCACAGTCCCAGCCCCTTGAGCGTCAGGTGGCTCGGCCCCGGCCCCAGCGTGCTGGGCGGGCCCCAGCCCCGGAGTGCCGAGTAGCGCAGTCCCGGCCCCAGCCGCCCCAAGTCCCAGCGGCCTGCCCCAGCCACAGTCAGCCTGGGCTACGGGGGAGCGGGAAGGGACCTGGGGGCAGAGCGTGGGCGGGGCCACGCCAGGTTAATTGAGGAGGCACAGCCTCCACTGACCTATGATACCTGCCGCCCATGGCTGGATGCCATAGCACCACCCTGGACTGGGGACTGTGGGGGCGGGCATGCTTCCTCCCAGCCCAGCGAGGGTTGTGCTTGTGCCCACTCCCCTGCTGCAACCTCCCTGTGCCCTGGCACACCTGCTGCCCCTCCTTGCTCCTGGAGCAGCGCAGGGCTGCCCCCTCTTTGCCCATCAGAGTGACGAGCTGAGCCAGCCTCGCGCAGACAGTGCCCTGGGGGGGCTGAGCCCCCTCTCTGGTCTGTCTGCTCCCTCCCCTGTCAGGGCTGAGCCTGCCCCCCTGCCTTGACTCCGCACAACCCTCCCTGTCAGGGCTGAGCCCCCTCTCTGGTCTGTCCCTCCCCTCGAGGGCTGAGCCCCCCCTGCCCTGACTCCGCACGCCCCTCCCTGTCAGGGCTGATCCCCTGCCCCTGCTCTGACCCCGTGTGCCCCTCCCCTGCTCTCCCTTGCAGAAAGGCTTTGCCGGTGGGAAGGTCTCTCTCCTCGACTGCTTCAGCCTTTTCACCAAGGAGGAGGAGCTGGATTCCGAGAACGCCCCGGTAAGGGAAGGGCCAGAGGCCCCACCCCGTTGGGTGTGTAGGGAGGGGCCCTTGCCCCGCTGTGCTTGGGGGGCCTTAACCTCTCCATCCCACAGGGCTGCAAGGAACATCCCATATGGGGCGGGGCACTAGGAGCTGGGCCAGGTCAGGCTGCAGAGGGCTCCAGCATCACTACCGCCTCTGTAGGGCAGTAACTGGTGCAGCACCAGCTGGGGTGCTTGGAGGCCGAGGTCCAGGCACCAGGCGGAGGGGAGCGTGACTGGGAAGGGGGCGAGCAGGGAGGGACGGTAGGAGGCTGCTTGGAGCCTTGACAGAAAAGCACCAGGAGCCTGCAGCTCATGCAGGGACGTGGGAGGGCAGCTGGCACTGGTGTAACTGAGCCAGGAGGCTCCGGGCCCGGCTGTGCCAGCCACAGCGGGGCTGGAGCGTCAGCATAGCTTGGCCTCCTCCCCTGCACACTCTGAGCTGGGCTGTCCTGTGCCTTGGAGCAGGTCTGTGACAAGTGCCGGCAGAGGACGAGAAGCACCAAGAAACTGACCATCCAGCGCTTCCCCCGCATCCTGGTGCTGCGTATCCTGTCTGCTGTGGCCTATGGGGGGAGGGGAGGAAGGGGCCGAAGCCTTTTGCCTTTGGGTGGCCCATTCAGCCCTGGCTCGGCCCTGCTCAGCATCTGGGGATGTTGGGATTAGCTGGGGTGCGACTCCTTGGGTACTGGCTATTGCTGGCCCCATGGTCCACAGGCCTGGCCTTACCCAGCACATGCTGTTCTGCAGCCCTGCGTCTGGCTGGGCTTCCTGACAGCGTCCCAGCACTGGAGGGGTGGGGACTAGTAGTGCAGGACACAGCAAACGTGGATGTGGTAGAGCCTGGGTGGCAGATGTCTGCTCGGTGCCTGGCCGGGATCTGTGGCCCAGGTAGCTGCGGGTGTGTCCCTGGCACTGGCAGCATGCAGTGTAGAGAGGGATGTGCCGGATCCCGAGGGGCTGGGCTAGCGCAGGCTCCTGCAAGTTCCTGCAGGCTATGAGCCATCCTCCACGTCAGGACAAAGGCCACCCCTACCTCTTGGTCCCCTTGCCCGTTACCTCCCTTAACCCTGCTGCTCCGCTGGCCAGACCTGAACAGGTTCTCCACCACCCGGTACTCCATCAAGAAATGCTCTGTCTTCGTGGACTTCCCTCTGCAGCGACTCAACCTGAAGGAGTTTGCCAGTGAGAAGGCTGGTAGGTGTCCTGGCACCAGCCCACCTGGCATGTCCTGCGCTCTCCCCCCGAGCCAGGTCTTGCAGGGCCCTGGCTGGGGTGAAGCGCACACGGGCTCCTGACCTTGTTCTTGGGAAGGGAGACTCTCGCATTGCTCGATCAGCTGCTGCAGGCATTCGTCCCAAACCACCTTGGCCGGCAGGCCCCTGGGGTGGTTCCAGTGGGGCGCAGAGCAGGGCTGAAAGGGCTAACAGCCCGCAGCTAATACCCCACACCTGGCCCATGCCCATGGATGGTGCTATTGGCATGTGCAGTGGGCAGGGCCCTGGTGAGAAGGGAGGGACTGAAGGGAGCAGGGAGCAGATGGGGCCCTTGTGAGGGGGGAGGGCCAGAAGGGAGTGGGCAGGGCTCTGGTGAGGGGG